ATAGGAGAGGAGAGGAGAGGAGAGGAGAGGAGAGGAGAGGAGAGGAGAGGAGAGGAGTGAGGAGAGAATAAATAACTGAAGAATGGAGTAGTAATGGCCCAGAGCCCAGGACAATTTAGAAAGAAAAACTGGGTGCAGCTTCAATCATCCTTTTCCTCTCTAAATTTAAGACTACATAGTGTTGCTAACTAAAACAAAAAAAATATCCCTAGTTGATACTTAGCAAAATGGATCTTAAGAGAGACACAAAAGCCAAGCATTTCTACTCTCAAGAGTATGGGGACCGAAGCAACACTCCCCACTTCTGAGTTTACACAGTTCTAAGGAAGAATGAGAACAAAGTCAAGTCCTGCTAACAGTTAGGAGGCTTAGGGCTGACTTACTGTTCCTTACAGTAGCTTCCTTGCCACATCTAAAAGTCTGAAGCAGTTGAAATCAGGTTTCAGACTGTTTCCCAGCTAGCCCATAGCTCACTGTTCCACCTGTGGAGCAGTCCTATGCAGGCTGAACCCACAACTTACATGCTTCAGGAAGAGATGTAGATCCATAGAGGAACAGAAGACTGGGGCAGGCACAGTGGGATGAAGGGGTGCCTACAACATGCCTATTGCACTAAATATGACTCTAGTTAATACTATTTTGCTTTGAGTACATCCATAAGTGGCATAAGGGAGATGAACTCCAGACACATAGAGGGACCTGGCTAGTGAGGGATGGAGATGGAGTAAGACAGGGAGAAAAAAATAGCCTGCAACATGTGGTGTTTTTATGAAGTCATAAGTGGTAGAAGGGATGGTAAAAAAAAAATCACCTCAAAGATAACAGAGAGCACTTGCATTATTCAAGGCCCCTTAGAGACTGAAAAGAAAGCAAATTCTAACCCAGGCATAACCTCATACTCAGGCATTACTGAATTCAACTCTTTTAGGGAGATAGCAGAAATGAAGCCAAATCTAAGGAACATCACATTAGGACCAATATCACTATGAGGAGCTCCAAATTCCATCACAGTCTATAATAAGTTATTCTTCGCATGCCATTGGCCTTGGAAAATCTCAAACTTTCCCCAAATCTCTCTCTCTCTCTCTCTCTCTCTCTCTCTCTCTCTCTCTCTCTCTCTCTCTC